ATTACGATTTGTTGAACATGCCATCTCATTATAGTGATGCATGCACGGTTCTTCTTGAAATTCGTTAAACACGTTGAGAAATCAAGAAGGGCGAATGTTGTTCAAATATTCACGAAAGAAGATGTCAAGTCGCCAAGGAACTAACGCCCAATGTCTATTCGGAACGCTATTTCACAGCTGCTGTTTTATTGCTGATGTACCACGGAACAGCGAAAAGCCACTGGTATGGTGCAGGGATGCGCTTATCCCCATATCTGCTCGCTGCTGTTCAAGCTGGTATGTCACACCACGAACCATTATGTGTGGTAGCGCGAGACGGATTGTACGCAGACGACGCAGTTTTAATTCCAAAGCACGTATCTCGCGTTCAAGCGTTGTTGAGCGTTTTGATTTCGGGGGGGGGGCAGAATACAGCATGCAGTTTAACTGGGACGAAACAGTAGAACTTCAAATGTCGATCCACAGCTCTGTAACAAGATTAACCGGAAACCATTCGAACGCGTCAGTCCAGTGATCTACCGCGGAGGTTTGATTACCAGAATTGGCCGCGTGGGACACGAGTTCAATCGACGATTGGGCGTAGGCAGCGCTGTATTTCGAGCGGAGTTCACAGTTTGACATTCTTTCCCCGTGGCAAGCAAATGGAAACATCCAGTCTACATCAGCTGCGTCGGCAGCAACTTTTGATACACACCGGATTCTTTATGGTTGCCAAACATGTCAAGCTGCGGCTGGGCGTTTTTTGTGGCAAGTTCTTTCGCAAGGTATTGGGCAGCCCGCAGTCTTTTTCTTCGAGGGTGTAGAACGTCCTACTGTTCTCGATCGCTCTGATTCTGCGCCTCTTTCAGGCATGTCGCGCGACCGACAGGCGCAGGTGTTCCAGAAGATCGCGCGCCAGGAGAAACAATCCGCTTGATAATTATCTTGTGTGCGACCGCCCAAAATGTCCCTCTACAGGAAGAATATTCAGAAATAGTCCAAACATAGCCTGGGGACGGTTTTTCTGATATTTTAATCATTTTTGAGTATTTCAATTGTTTCCTTCATAATCTGCGCGTAGGGGGACATGTCAGACCTAAAACAATTTACGAAGCACAAACGGAACGGCACACCCAGACAACAAAAGGGCTTGTTTTGTACGCGAAGGGCAGGAGGAACCACAGTATCTTTGACACTGTCGTGGCACTCGTTCAACCCGTCGCCCTGGCAAGCAAAACGGCCAATCCATCATTGCATATAGCTTTCGAGCAACGCGTTTGGCGGTCTGCGTCCCGGCGGCGTTTAGCATTCCGCGCTCAGGTTGCGGGGATTCTTCTTCGGATCATGGGAGCTTGCTGGGGTCTCCTAGGGCTTCCCTTCGTTTTGTTCGGCCTCCTCCTGGCCACGGGACCCGCTGCCGCAGATTTCGACCGTGGTTTTCCTGCTTCGCGTAGAAGGCCGCAGGCAGAGGGACCTTGGAGCAGCAGGCCTGCGCACGGCTGTGGCCTTGACTCGGACGGCGGGGGGGCTTTCGATTTGCGTTCCTCAAGGAAGCTGACCGCAGAATGGATCATATGCTTTGGCGCACAACAGTCACGCGCCACGCACGACCACTCCAAGTCCACGAGTGGGCGCTGCAAATCATTCTCTGCTCTTTGGCAATGGTTGGCGCACAGAGTAACCAGGGCGTCCGTCTCAAGCATCCCGATCCCGACATATTTGGGGCAGTTTTGTTTGGTCCCGCATTCTACACGCGCGTAAGATACTGACTTTAGGACAATTTTGTTGTTGTTCCGTGGGATGGCGGTCTAGAAGAGTCTGTCGGTTGCGTTCGTCTTCAGCCTACCCACGGCGATTTCGATCAAGTTCGAATTTTATATCCAGGGGCAGGACGGAACAGACTCCGAAACCTGGGTAGCTGCCGGGCGGATTGCGTGCCGTCAGAGCAATGCAACGGGATGATTCAGAACGTCCCCAGTTTGACTGCGAGGTACGCAGTGAATTCGGATGGGCGCGCTAGCTGAGGAAACGGGTATTGGAATTCTGGCTACACAGCCAATCAGGCGATTTGCACATGCGGGGGCGATGTGCGTTCCACGCACAAACTTTACAGGTCTCAAAGGCCCCACAGGTCACAGAGGACGTACATGTCGAACAGGACTCGCAAGTCCCATACGCCCCACAGGTTTCGCTGGTCCCACAGCTCCCCCAGGTCGCACAAACCCCACATGTTCCACATGTTCCACAGACCCCACAGGTCCCACAGGTCCCACACGTCGTGCGGGTACCAGATGTTCCACAGGTCTCATACGTCCCGCAGATTCCACAGGTCCCACAGGGCGCGCAGGTTGCGCAGGCATCCTGTCATCGTGTGATCTTGCCATGCTGGCATCCAGGCATCAGGGCCTCCTGGCCGCCTGGCATCTTGAGATCCTGGCATCCTGGTGTCCTGGCATCCTGGCTTCCTGGCAACCTGGCGTCCTAGCATCCTTGCTTCCTGGTATTCGAGCATCATCACCTGGTTAATCATCGATGTGCACCACGGAGAGTACCATGTGAGGCCATACCGTCGGAGTAAGTCAGGATTGACTTTCGACAGTTGTGGTGGTGGTGGTGATGGTGGTGATGATGTGTGTCTGGGTGTCAGGAGAGAGAGGGAGAGAGAGAGACAGAGACAGAGAGACAGAGCTAGAGAGAGAGAGAGAGTGAGAGTGAGAGAGAGAGAGAGAGAGAGACCGAGAAGCAGACGCATAGCGATGTACGTACGACTCAGACAGGGCCATCCAAGGCAACCGTTCGAGGCGATGCCCCGCGCGGGATCTCCGGGCGGAGGGAGGGAAGGGATGCGACGGACGCGAGTGCAGGAGACGGGGCAGGGAACGGGACGAAGGTTCGAGCGGGTCCCGAGCATTGTCGGTGGTCATGCAGGCGGTTTTACTGAGCGCCGAGTCCTGGGAGTCCAGCCTCACCCAGAATAGTGGTGATTGCCTCGTCATTTTGATCATGGACGTTTTTTTTCAAGCATGTTCTGTCGGTTGCTAGTATCACGTATGGATTTGATTTCGGAAGCAAGGGGCTCTGTCCCCCCGTCGGCACCTCGCGGCAAGCCTTCTCTGAGGATGATGGGGAAATGAGGATGAGGAGCATACTGACGCATAGTAGTTCCCAACTCCCACTGGCTGTCTGCTTAGTTGCTCCGCGCCCAATCTTTTACAAATTGTTTCGGCATCTCTTGCCCTCCGCACTGGTAGCAGCCTTAATTTGTTACCGGATGCCTACGTCGGCGCATGCATTGTTTGAGGAACGCCACAAGCCTGGCCTCAGTGTCCGCCCAAACGAAAAAAGGAACGTAAGGGCTTCTCTGCTCCTGCAGCGGTCGGCGGCCGGATCAGCCGAGAAGGAAGATCGTCCTGAGGGCAATGGGGTCTTGAGTTGTCAGAGAAGCGGTTCCGGATTTTGAAAAAGAGCAAGCGTCATACGCATAAACTCTTGGCGCTCCGCGCGGGTCTCTTGGATCCGCGCTGGGGCCCGCTGGCGGCGCCTCCAGCGCCGCCCCTGGCGCGTTCCGCGCGCCAGGGAGGAGGGTCCAGCGCAGACCCAAGAAATCCGCGCGGAGTGCCAAAAGTTTATGCTTAAGTCGTTTTTTTTGTTTTTCTTTTGTCTTTGTTTTTGTTGTTGCTGTATATTTTTTCATTTCTGAAGAATAATTATTGTTGATCCCCCTCACTGGTGCATGCGTTTTTTTCTCAATCAAAGTGTGCACCTCGACGCTCGCACCCTGTTTTTTGACAGGGAAAGTCTTGGTGCTCAAACTGGGCCCCTGGCCCCCCGGATTACAACAACGAGGGCTCCCGCCTGAGACTTCCTCCAAATCTACTCAGGACCCCCGCTCCTGAGACTTCCTCGCAATTTACTCACGATCGGTGCTCCCGCTTGTGACTTCCTTGCAATTTTGTCAGGACCCCCGCTCCCATTTGAGACCTCCTCACAATTTACTGAGGAACGGCGCTCCCGTTTGATACTTCCTCGCAATTGAATCAGGATTCCTCGCAATTTAGTCAAGACCTCCGCTCCAGCCAGACAACCCTTCACATGTTATTCAGGAATTGCGCTCTCGCTTGTGATTTCCATTCAATTTATTCAGAAATCGCGCTTTTGACGCTCAGGAAACACGCTGCGCAAAGGACGCCGTTACAAGTTACGTAATAATCGCGCTCTCGCCATACTCTGGCATCCCGCTTGAATGTCCCACCCGCCCGACCCGCCCGTCAGGGGATTGCCCGCCCGTCGTGGGTTTCCGCTCGAGACTTCCCAAGAACGGCGTTTTCGCCTAGGACTTCCTCGGACGTTCACGTTTCCTGCTCCTCCTCCCTTTCCCTCCTCCCTCCTCCCTCCTCTCCTCCCTTCTCTCTCCCTCCTCTCTTCTGTCGTCCTTATGCCTCTCTGCCCTATCCCCTCTCCCTCCTCTCCCTCCTCCCTTCTCCCTCCCCTCTCCTGCTTCCTCCCCCCTCCCTCTTTTTTTTTTTTCCTCTCTCTCTCTCTCTCCCCTCTCTCTCTCTCTTTCTCTACCTCTTTTTTTGTTTCTGTTTCTCTCTCTCTCTCTCTGCCTCAACCGCCCCCCTCTTCGCTCCTTTATCTCCTGGCGTGTTCCCTCTTCCTTCGTCCCTTCCCCTCCTTTTCTTCCACTCACCCTCGTTCTCCCCCTCCTCTTTTTGCATGGCCCACACCAATTCCAATGGCTGGCACATGCACGCCCACGAAGGATTGTCCGCCCGTTCAGGTTTGCCCGCCTGTCTAATGCCGCCGCCCCCCGCAAAGAGAAATAATCCCCCAAAAGGGGTGTGATCGAAAACAAAATGGGCGGGTATCGAGGGTGTGGGGAACTCGTTTTGAATGACACGCGGGCTATCAAGACCGAGCAGTATTATACTGATTGCTGTTGTTGTTGCTGCTGTTGTTGCTGTTTATATATGTGTGTATATATATACATGGCATGGAAGCGCATTCCCTCGGCAGCGCAGGTGCTGCTGGATGTCACCATTGACGTTCTGAAGGGCGACCCTGTCCCGCTGGACTTCAACGACTCGCTGATCATCTCCAACCCGAAAGGATCGGAACCTGATGATGGACATGCTGCTGCTAGCCTGGCCACAGCAACGTGGCCGTTATCATTGAAGAGCACTGAGTGCAAGGTCGTGGCCTCGATGGGCAACTATCTGTTGAAACTACTCGTTGCTCAGGGCGCCCATGGTGCACAGAAGCGGTTCCTCCCGAAACGTCGTTCCATCGAGCATGTGGTGGCCATGGACGCGCAGTCCCGTATCGGGGCCATGCAGGACGAGGTGCGGTCCAAGGGCCCGCTGCTGGTGCTGTTCGTCTTTGGCGACGCGTTCCGTTCGATGTGCAGAGCGTGGTTGAACATGGCCCTCGAAATTGCAGGCTTCCCCGGGCGCGTACGCAACATGGTCGACGCGATATACTCCCCCCCCCGTGGCGTACACCAACCTGGGCGGTGCCCTTGAGGTCTTTTGCACCCTCGCCTCTGGCATACTGCAGGGCTGCCCATGGTCTGGTACGCTTTGGGCTGTTGGAATGGACCCGCTGGTCATAGACATGTGTTCGAGAACGGCTCACTTTAAAGGCGCGGTGATCGGCGTTTGTGCAGGTGATGTGGGCTGCGTGGTTTCGTCCCTGAAAATGCTCCGCCCGCTGAGCCACGTCTTCTAAGCAGCCGAGGTTCTGGCGCGCCTGGTGCTGAAGACGGTGACGGCAATATCATCCCTCTGGCGAAGGCGTGCTCCCCGACGGTGGGGAGCAGGATCCGAGATAAGATCGTCGACCTGGTCCCTCGCTGGCAGGGCATGTCTTTCGCCGACATAGCGGAGTACCTCGGGGTGCTTCTGGGTCCTGGTGTGGACGACCTGTTGCGCTGGCAGAAGCTCATCGTGGGCTGGCAGCGCACAACCAACCCGATCGCGGACGTCGGGGCGCCCACAAACACCTCCCTGATGCTGTACAGCCAGCGTGCCGTCAGCAAGATCCCCTACCTGAGCCAATTTTTCTGGCCGCCCAAGATGACGCGGAAAGAACCGTGGGCATTACCCCGAATCGGGCAACTACCCTGGCAAGCGCTCCTTCGTGATGATGTTCTGGCGCTGGGTCGCTGGTCGCTTATGAAGACGGTGTTGCTCGAGTTGAACCACCGTGCGGTCCTGATGCCCAGTGCCCTCGTCTCCATCCTGAACTGGTCGTTCTGGGCACGTCGGTTGCTTGAGGTGCGGAGAAAGCGCTCTCTCTGTTCGAGTTCTCGCACGGTGTGTACACGCCGCCCCACTGGAAGTCCAAGCCAATTGCCACACGCTCGAATCGGCTGCCACGGTCTTCGCGAGTGACAGGAACGTGAAGCTGACCACCGCTGGTGGCTCTGCTCTGAGTGAATGGCTCGCGGAAAAGACACGCCTCTTCGTCGCTCGCTCGAAGGCTCGCCTGCGCATGCAGAACTTTGTCCACTCTCGCCTCGTCGCCTTTTTCTGCCGGATCGCCTCTCGTTTCAACTCGTGGGCGGTACCGCCTGAAAAGTTCATTTTGCGCCAGATCGAATGGGAGCCGCTCGAAGAGCTTCTCTCGACTACTGTTCCCCTGGTACTTACTCCGCCCTCCTCAAGACTTGGGCGGGTGGGTGGACGACGAGCAGCCGCCTGCACGCCAGCGCGAAGAGTGCTGACGGACCCTGTATTTTCGGCTGCTGCCGCTCAGAGGACCCTGGCGCCCTCGATGCCATGCTTAATTCTTATGTTCATTGTTCCCATCTCTGGCACGCCGTTTGCAGCGTGTGGTTCATCCGCGTCCCTGCCCCTGAATCGTTGCCTGTTCGTTTCGGTCTTTGCGGCGAAAGCGCAGACGTGCACGCACAGCGCTGAGCACATGGGCGCACCATCCGTGCTTTTAACACGTAAAACATTCAATCGAAACTGAGCCCATCCAAATGTTTTCAGCCCGTTGCAGTTGCGAAGAGCGCCCTAAGAGCGAGGGCGATGCTCCTTGCAACTTGTAAGCCTTCTGCACAGTAAGTCGTTGGACGCTGTGCTCTGCGGAACTGCGAGGGACATGTACATGTACATGCATGCGTGTTTATGTATATGTATAGGTATATGTATACGTATATGTATATGTATATGTATGTATGTATGTATGTATGTATGTATGTATGCATGCATGCATGCATGTATGCATGTATCTACGTATGTATGTATGTCTGTATGTATGTATGTATGTATGTATGTATGTATGTATGTATGTAGGTATATATATATACATATACTTATATATACACGTGTGTATATATACACACATACATTTATGGGGAATCGTAAAAACAGTGGGATAACAATCGAAACACAAACAATACAGGACCCTGGCCCTGGACCCGCCTCCGCCAGGACCCGTCTCTCGCGGTCCGCAGCGGATGAGGAGGGGCCGCCGCCTGCCCCCCCTTGCTGTGAGGCTGGGACGACCATGGCCGCCGCGGCCTGCGCGGCGGCCGCGGCCGCCGAGGCCCTCCGGCGGGCGGCCAGCTGCTGCGCGGGCTGCGTCTGCCGGGTATCGAAGAGGAGAAAACGCCATAAACATTTGTTTTGGGCGTTCCGCGTCGATTTGTGATTTGATTTGTTCATTGTTTCGCCGATCGGCGCGGGCCCTCGCACGCCCTTTTTCCCTCCCCCATGGAGTAGATCTTGGCTGTTTTTGGCGCCTGTTTCGAGCAGGTGGATCGCCCCCCTAGAACACGCTGTTGCACACAGTCGCATTAAGCATAGGTCGGGAGCCAGACCCCCCCCCGCCCCCACCCTTTCCGCCCAATGTCGAAACGCCAAATAAGAAAACGCTTTCGGCGCTTCTGGCGCCGCCCCTGGCGCGCCCAGCGCGCCTCGGAGGGGGTCCCAGAAATCCGTGCGGAGCTCCAAAAGTTTAGGTTTAAGCCGTTTTCTCTTCCTCTAGGGTGGACGTCGGCAGAAGGACACGTCAAGCAGTGTTTCTGTGGAGAGGTCTCATGTGGTGGCGGCCTTACAATGTTGTTTGTTGTAAGGGGGAGGAGGCGGAGGAGGAGAGGACCAGGGTTATAACACATCCCCACCCAGCCCCCAGAGAGGACCGTAAGAGGTATCCACGAGGTGCGATTGTGGTCCCTCGACGGGCTGGCGGTGGCACCCTGGAGAGTGCATGTGCTGGGCCAAAACGCGAGTGTTGCCCACCTCCCGCTCCCCCCCTGTAACCGGCGTCGCCCCAACATCGATGCCATGTGTGCGCCGCCTACCAAGCCACCCCAACCCAACCCGAAGGCCCCGATTTGCCCTCCATTTCCAGTGGAAGGGGTGTCGGGGAACATTGAAAAACACGTGTGAAATCCTTGCCCCTCTTAGCCCGAAATTCGGATCTTCGGGTTAGGTTGGGGTGGTCTGGTAGGTAGTCAATGTGTTCGCCGCCCCCTCCCGCGGCGACGCGCGCGCGGCTGGAAAATCTCACAGTATCAGCTCCGTTGCGGGCGCATCTTGGCCATACCTGCCGCTCAAGAAACGACCTGCTACAATATTATTGTACCAATTATATGTCCGAGCGAGTGCCTCTGGGCACCGCCCCCCCCCGCACCTGCGCAGCGCGTGCCCCCGGCGATCTCCGCAGCTCGCGCGCGCGAGGAGCCCAGACCTCTCTCGGCAGAGTGCGGCCTCGCAGTGCAGGTTGGGAGCACTGCTTCGCGACGCCGATCACAACTCGGTGCTCGCAGGCACACCTGGTGCTCACAGGCACGAGTCGGTGCTCGCGGTCCTCGAAGAAAAAGCAGCGCCATAAACATACATTCATGGCGCTCGGTTCGGAACGCCAGAAGTTTATGTTTATGGTGTTTTTTCTTCTACTCCTGTGGTGCCCGCAGGCTTGGTGCTGGTGCTCGGGCGCTCGCAGGCACTCCGGGCGATCACATGCGTCTCAGGCCGGTGTTCGCAGACACCTTTCAGACATGAGCAGGAAGAGCTGGAGGAGTACGGTACGTAAGCTAGGCGAGGTAGTCGATTGCGTTTCCAGTGCCGGTTTGTGCTCAGGGGTGCCAGACACGGAGGCGAGAGGAGGAGGAAAAAGAAGGAGGAGGAGGAGGAGGAAGAGGAGAACGGGATTGATGAGGAGCACAAAAGGAGGAAGAGGATGAAATCGTCTTCGTCGTCGTCGTCGACGTCGTGTCGTCATCCAGTCGTTGTCGTCGTCATCGTCGTCGCCGCCGTCGCCGTCTTCGTCGTCAAGTCGTCCGTCGTCGTCGTCGTCGTCGTCGTCGTCGTCGTCGTCGTCGTCGTCGTCGTAGTAGTCGTTGTCGTTGTTGTCGTTGCGGTGGTCGTCGCCGTCGTCGTCGTCGTCGCCGTCGTCGTCGGCGTCGTCGTCGCCGTGCGCGTCGTCGTCGTCATCGTCGTCGTCGTCATCGTCGTCGTCGTCGTCGTCGTCGTTGTCGTCGCATAGTCGTCGCCCAGTCGTCGTCTTCTTCGTCGTCGGCGTCGTTGTCGTCGTCGTTGTCGTGTTGTCTTTGTCGTCTTCGAGTCGCCGCCGTCGTCGTCGTCGTCGTCGTCGTCGTCGTCGTTGTCGTCTGCGTCGTCGTCGTTGTCGTCGTCCAGTCGTGCAGTCGTCGTCGTCGTCGTCGTCGTCGTCTTTTGTCGTCGTCGTCGTCGCCATCGTCGTCGTCGTCCAGTCGTGCAGTCCTCATCGTCTGCGTTGTCAGCGTTTCCTGGATCGTCGGTTTCGTGCAATCGTCCAGTCGTGCAGTCATCGTCGTGGTCGTTGTCTTCGTCGTCGTCGTCGTCGTCGTCGGCGTGGTCGTGGTCGTGATCGTGGTCGTCGACGTCGTCGTCGTGGTCGTCGGCGTCGTCGTTGTCATGGTCGTTGTCGTGGTCGTGGTCGTGGTCGTGGTCGTCGTCGTCGTCGTTGTCGTCGTCGTGTTTTTTTCGTTGTCCAGGCGTCGTCGTGGTCTTCGTCGTCGTCGTCGTCGTCGTTGTCGTTTTCGTTGTCGTTGTCGGTTCCGTTGTCTTCTCATTATTGAAGAGTTATTGTTGTTGATCCCTCCCCTCCTGTAACGTATGTGTCTTTTCAATTGAAGTGCCCCTCACTGGGCTCGCACCCTGTTTTCTATTATGGAAAATCTTCCTCCTCAAACTGTGCCCCTGGCCGCCGGTTTACAACAACAGCGGTTCCCGCCTGATATTTCTTCGCAATTTACTGAAGAATCGCGCTCTCGCTCGGGACTCCCTTGCAATTTATCAAAGAATCGCGCTCTCGCTTGTGACTTCCTTGCAATTTATTCAGGCGCCACGCCCTCGCCATTCAGGAATCGCGCTCTCGCCTGGGACATCCTCATAATTGTCTTAGGAATCGCGCTCTCGCCCGAGACTTCCTGGCGAATTATGCAGGACTCACGCATTCGCGTGACATACGTGTTTTTTTGCTGTAGTGCCCCTCAAGGGGGCTCGCTCTGTTTTTACCAGGGGGGCCCGGGGGAGTCTTTCTGCTCAAACTGTGCCCCTAGCCCCCGGTGTATAACAACAGCAACGGCTCCCGCTTCATATTTCTTTGCAATTTATGAAAGACTCGCGCTCTCGCTGGGGACTTGCAATTCATCCGAGAATCGTGCTCTCGCCTGATACGGCCTCGCAATGTATTCAGACGTCGCGCTTTCGACAATCAGGAATCGCGCTGTCGCTTGGGACTTCCTCGCAATTGATTCAGGCGCCGCGTCCTCAACACTCAGGAATCACGCTTTATTTTGGAAGCGCGCTGTCGCTCGAGACTTCCCCGCGATTCATGCAGGACGCACGCTTCAGCAACCCGCCTGCTCGACCTGGGTGCCTGGGCTCGTTTGTTAGGGTCTACCCGCTCGATCTGCCCATCTGGTTCTGCCACGTGTTTTCTGCTCCCTGCCCCCCTCCTGCTATACTCTCGTGCTCCATCCTCCTGTATCCCCCTTGTCCCTTCCTTCCATCCATCCTCTTTTTTCCTGCCCTAGGTGCTGTGCGGAACAACACGTTGAAGGTAAGACATATTACCCCCAAGAGGATACGATCGAAGATGAAGAGGGTGGGTATCGAGTGTTTGGGATATGCGTGTTGAATGGCACGCGAGCAGACAAGGGCGAACCGTCTTAACATGAATGTTGTTGCTGTTGTTGCTGCTGCTGCTACTGTTGTTGTTGTTGTTGTTGTTGTTGTCGTCGTCGTCGTCGTCGTCGTCGTCGTCGTCGTCGTCGTCGTCGTCGTTGTTGTTGTTGTTGTTGTTGTTGTTGTTGTTGTTGTGGTTGTTGTTGTTGTTGTTTCTGCTGTTGCTGTTGCTGTTGCTGCCGCTGTTGTTGAGTTCACATTTTTGAAAACACAATTTTTGTTGAACTCCCCTGCCTCCGGTAACCATTGTTTTTCTTCGATCGAAGTGCTTCTACTGGGTCTCGCACCCTGTTTTTTACAAGGGAAGGTGAGGTGCCACCAAACTGTGCCCCTGGCCCCTCTTTACAGCAACAACGGCTCTCGGCTGATACTTCCTCGCGAATTATTCCACAAACGCGCTCTCGCGCGGGACTCCCACAATTTCTAGAGGCATCGCGCTCTTGCGTGGGATTTCCTAGGAATTTATTCAGAAGCCGCGCTCTCGACACTCAGGAACCACGCTCTCGCTTTGGCTTTTCTCGCAGTTTATTTGGGAATCGCGCTATCGCTCGAGACCTCCTCGCGATTCAGGCATGACTCACGCTTTAGCAACCCGCCTGCTCGACCTCGCCGTCTGGGCCTGCCTTCCGGACACACCCGCTAGGGTCTACCCGCCCGGTCTGCCCGTTTGGTTCTGCTACGTGTTTTCTGCTCCTAACCCCCCTCCTGCTACTCTCTCTCGTGCCCCATCCTCCTCCCTCCCCCTTGTCCCTTCCTTCCATCCGTCCTCTCTTCCCCTGCCTTCTGGGCTGCGCGACACACACGTAGCAGGTAAGAAAGATGTACTCCTAAGGGAGTACGATCGAAGACGAAGAGGGCGAGTATCGAGGGTTTGGGATATACGTGTTGAATGGCACGCGAGCAGATGAGAGCGATCAGCCTTAAAATGATTGTTGTTATTGTTGTTGTTGCTGTTGTTGTTGACGAATGTCCTTGTTGCTGTTGTTGTTGCTGTTCTAGTAGTTGTCGTTCTTGTTGTTGTTGTCGTCGTTGTTGCTGATGTTATTGTTGCTGTTGTTGTTGCTGCTGTTGTTGTTGTTGCTGTTGCTGCTGCTGTTGCTGTTGTTGTTGTGGTTGAATTTCCATTTCCAGAAGAATGATCATTGCTTGTCCTCCCTCTGGTAACCATCGCATTTTGCAATTGAAGTGCTCCTCCCAGGGCTCGCATCCTGTTCGTTGCAAGGGAAAGCTGGGTGTCACAAAATGTTGGGCCTCTTGTCCCCGGTTTAAACAACAGCGGCTCCCGCTTGACACTTCCTCACAATTTATATCATAATCTCGCTCTCTCTCGGGACTTTCACAATGTATGCAGGAGTCGCGCTCTCGCGTAGA